TAGAGGAGCTGAGTAACTGGTCTGAGATCATGCACTATTCAGTGGTAATGACAGGATTCAGAGTGTTATCTCGGCCTGCTGCGGGATTCTTACTACCATGCTGGGCTACAAGCCTTACCAGAAAAGATGCTGATTGACAAGTCAATTCAGACATAACCAGTCTGAGCAGGGAGCCAGGCATCCTTCCACCCAAGATTAACACCTGTGTGTGTGGCTTGAAGGCGATCATAGCATTATCCCTTAGTTAAAGGTTTTCTCTTCTTGAAGTGCCATAGACGGAATGGAAATGATTATGAAATGGAAAGGCAAGAAAAATCAAGAGAAATGAAACCAGAAATGCCACCCAAAAAGGGAACAAGTTTATTTAAGGTTAATCTACATAAACAGAAGGACAAGTGTCAATATTACCATAAAAATGGTCGGGCAAATACATACCAGGTGGGACTTCCAATTGCTATTCTGGGATTTCCAGGCCTTTACTGTGCAGCCTGAGGGCAAATATCTGCCAGGACTGAAAGGCAATGTCTGTTTCTACTTCACCACAGAGCACTTCTCTTCCTTCTGACCTATGGATCTTTTCCAGAAAGGTTTGCTTATTTCAAGGAAATGCCATACACATCCAAGACATCCAGCACGTTAGATCTGGGCAGCTTCCTTGAGACAAAATGGCTGCCCAGAGTTTCTCCGAAGGGCAGGTCTTCAGTCATTTTCAATAGACCTCAGGGAAATTTGACCCGTAGCTAGAGGATATGCGCATGAATTTACTTCCTCTTTTTTTAAGCTCCAGTGACTCCACCAGCAAAATGGAGGATGGAATAATTGACGTCTGTCTCTGGGTTCTCCTGGGAAACACCAGGAGTGTTGTTTTTCTAGAAAGAAACGAAGCCTCCAGGGTGGGGATTCTCTATCACTATTTCTGGAAATCTAAGAAATGCTTTTCAGCCTCTCTTCTTCCCTCCTTCCACTCTACCCAAAAAAGAAAAACTTCCCCAAACCTATAAACCCTAAAGAAAGTTAGAGATAACACAAATAGACATTTTTTGTTGTAATTCCTTCTTCTTTCACTTCAGCTTTTTTGTCAGAAGGAATTCATGTTCTGCAGAGGTTGAATCAGGAAACTTGAGAAGACATATAATTATTCAGGGTGCTTTTGTCCAGGGGTGCCAGGGGGCTGACTTTGGGGTTATACAAGCCTGAAAATTTAAGGCACATGAGTGATTGCCTCACAAGAAAATTTCCTCTTTCCAATGCTCTCAACTGAAGGGCTATAGAATATAAAATTCCTTTGATGTCACTTCTTCATAATCTTTCGAGGCAGGTTATCTCTGCCTTAATTTATGTTTTTCAATTTAAATTATTGGGGAAAATCCTGGACCTGGGGAATGTGATGCTTCTGCCTTCTTGACTTAGAACTTTTGAGTGACTTTGGGTTCACCGATCTTACTAACCTTTCCCAAGGCCTCAAAATCCCTTTGAAGGATATTGAAATTTAACTGAAAACAAGTGTATTAGGGGATGAGGCTGGCAGAAGAAGACCAGGAACTACAGAGTAGTTATAATTATAAATGTAATAATAATATTAACAATAACCTATATTTATTTCCCATGTACTAGGCTGAGTATTTCATAGGAATTACTTTATTTAAATATTTACAATAACCTTATAACGTTGGTACTAGTATCATCTTTCTTTTCCTTTTTTTTTTTTTTTTTTTTCCTTTCTGCTGAGGAAACAGGTTAGAGTGGTGAAGAAATCTGTTGTAATCAGAACTCCAATCCAGACCCTGGGTCTTGACCACTATGCTACCTTGCCTCCAGGAAATGTCACTCCTTAGGTGCGGAGAGCCATGCAGAGGAGGAAGCCAGCAAAGCTCACAGGGAGGAGAGGTGACGAGGCTACTTTCACTGAATTCAGAGCTGGACAGAATTCTGGATCCCATCCTTCACCCTCCTGGCATTAAACCTGATTACGATCTACCATAAAATGAGAGCTGACCCGTATAAGGCTTTTGAATCCAGAATACTCTATAGCTTCCTTTGTCCTCTTCATCTATGAGGTCACCTCCAAGCACTCAGCCCTCAGTGATCTCTCCTCCCTGATTTCCTGCAACACTTCCAAGGAACCAAGCTCAGTTAAGAAATGTCTTACAGTGTTTTATTAAATGTTTATATAGTTACTTCATTTGATCTCCACTGAATCTTGTGAAGTAGGCCAGGGCATACACTGCATTTTCATTTTTATTATTCCCTTTTTATAAACTAGGAAATTGAGTCTCAAAGAGGTGAGGTAACCTGTGCAGGGTTCTGAGCTAGTTCAGGGTAGGGCTGGGACCTTAACGTCAGGACCTTCAGCCCCGAGACCTGACTGGTTCCCCGACACCCTGCCCCTCCCTTCAGCATCAGGAGGTGTTTACAGTGCCTTCTAGGCATAGGCTTTTGAGTGGAGCACTCTGGGTGGGAAGCAGAGGTGGTCTCCACCCTAGGAAGGATTACTATTTTCTTTGGGAGATGGCCTCATTCTCATCCAATTAGTAACCACACAAACAGTTCCTTGTTTTTTTAAAAACTATTTTGCAGGCTCAGTTGGGTTTATACTCCTTTCTGTCCCCACTGGGGATTTTGTGTCCTGCTCTACGCCCAGTAGGTGCTCAATGTGTCTTGGTGTCAATGAAGCCTGGATTCTTGACTGGGCGTGGCAGCCTGGAGGAAAGAGCGGAGACTTTGGAAACAGGCCCAGTTGTGCCCAAGTCCTGCCCCTGCACTTTCCGGTTGTGTGACTCTAGGCAGGCGCCTGGCCTCTCAATGCCTCGGGCGCCTCAACCTAAAAGGAAGATCATAGTCCCTACGTCCTAGGATGCCGGCCAGAATGCTGAGGTAATGCAGCTACGGTCTGGAGCACAGCGCACAGAGGAAGCAAGCAGGAGATGCTCTCTGTAGTGGTTATTAGGACATCTACCTTATCACCTTCTTAAAAGAGTTTCAGCTCATCCTTGTTGAGCCTGCAAAGCTTCCTCTCGGTATTTCAGCACACGCATCTGTTGAATCTGTCATCGCAGGCGGTTCTCTTTCATCTTCATTCAGGCGAGGAGGACGATCACATTCAAAACCGTGGTTCAACCACGTGCAACTGAGCACTGTAACCTCCTCAGCTGCAGGATGCATAGTAATAGGATCAACCTGAGACCCTCTTGGCAGGTGTCCACCCCGCCACCCCCCAAGTTCACCAAAAACACAGGTTAAATTTGGAACAAGGGTCTTCAAACCAGAACCCCCTTTCAGCTATTTGTGGCACCCTTTGCTAAATGCAATTGCTGAGGGAGCTTGTAAGTATTTCCAACAGGACGAGCAACTGCCAGAAGCCAAGTCAATACCTATTCAAAGGACTCCCAGAGCCCCCTTAGTAGAGCACAATAATGTGGACCAAAGCCATTTCCCAAAGAGCTGGTTTCTCCCCTCCTCTGTGTCAACGTTGGACACAACTGCTACCAGAACCAGGCTGCTGTTCCACAAGATGCGTCGGAGGCCAGATGATTCTGGCTCGGTAATATCAAATCTGCCTGCTTGTTTTCCTCAAAGCAGTCTTAGAAAAGGGAAACGTTTCCTGTGTTGAAATGGGACCACTGTTGGAAAAAGTAAAACACAGTTCCACTGCAGCTCAGTGTACTCAGCTCTCCATTCCCCTTATGATGGAGCACACAGCAACACAACTCCTTCACGTCCGCTATCTGGAACTCCATCGCTTCATGTGTCTCCCATTTACCCATCCCTGTACTGCAGGTAGGAGAGGACAATAAATGGCCTTGATTTCCAGAGTCACCTCCCATCTGGGACGTCCCAAGCCCAGAAGCGAGCTCCCTCCAGTTCTTCAGCTCTTTTTCCCTCTCCCCTGCCCTGCTGCATAGAAACTTGGCATGGGAAGAAGTGTCTGTTCCTACTGTGAGCTATGTACTTAGCATAAAAAGCCTTAAAAATAATTTAACGGCAGCTCGGGCTGTCCCTGGAATATATCCACGGAGCCTCTTGAGCATGAGATGTTTGTTGCTCTACCCTGGCATTTGAACAATTGCTTTTCTCATTCCTGAACCTACCTATAGCTATTTTTGAGCTCTCAGAACATGCTAGACTCTGCACGGAGGTTAACTCGCTTTATCTTGTTTAAACCCAACAAAGACCCCATGGAGCAAGGACTACTGTTACGTCCATTTTACTGTTAAGAAAAGCAAGGGAAATTAAGTAGCTCTAGAACCCTTGTTGCTAACCTCTTTGCCACAGTGTCTCCCAGTTATAAAATGCTGGGAGTTTTGTTCTCTTTAGGGATGAAGTATCTTGAGGATGGGGATCAAGTCTTAAAGTTCTGTGCCAAGTTCACAGTTCGGTCCTCACTGCTAGTGGGTGTTTCACATGCTGTAATCAGTCTATTTCTCAACAAGAATTTTTTTTTAAGATTTTATTTTTCCTTTTTCTCCCCAAAGCTCCCTGGTACATAGTTGTGTATTTTTAGTTGTGGGTCCTTCTAGTTGTGGTATGTGGGATGCTGCCTCAGCATGCTTGATGAGCAGTGCCATGTCCACGCCCAGGACCCGAAGTGGTGAAACTCTGGACCGCCGAAGTGGAGTGCGCAAACTTAATCACTCGGCCACAGGGCCAGCCCCCGCAACAAGAATTTACAACAAAGTGCATCTCTGTTTAGAGCCTTGTAGGTTTTCAACTTAGTATCAAACCCTATGGGGTAGACAAAGGAAGTACACAGTCTATTTGAGGGAGATTAGTCCATATGAAATACAAAATCAATTAAATGTAACTAAAAATAAATGTTTCAGCATCCAGGGAAAGGGGAGACCAGAATCATGGAGAGGTGGTGGTGTTTGAACTGACCCTTGAAGAATGAGGCCAATGTCAAGAGGTGGAGAAGGAGAGAGAGGGGAAGGGGTGTGAGAAGTGTCTTGGAGACTTGCAACAGTATAATACGTACATTGTAATTTCTCTTCACCATCAAGCCTGGGAATTCTAGAAGGCTTACAGTCTCTTGATAAAAACAAAATACATCTTAGCTCATCAAACAGACTTTTCTCTAAAACCTGGGATGGGAGTCAAAGGACCCACATAGGGTATGTTCTGGAGGTAAGAGGACTGGTCTATTTCTTTCCAGTTTTCCTGTTCTCCCTGTCTATCCTCTTCTACTTCTGATTATTTTCTCTGAACTTAGTTTTTAAAAACTGTGGGGGACTGGAATTTGCCACCCCAAGATATGTCTCTTTGGCATGAGGATTATTTGGGTCTAGTTACTTTTAAAAACTGCAGATATGAGAGAAACTCTCAAAAGCAGAAGTTACACTTTGTAAGAGACATTTACGTTTGTAAAGGAAATCTCTTATCTGTAAACGTGTCTCCCTCTCTGTACCAGGAAGAAGGGGGATGACCTTATTTCTAGAAACTCTTATCAAAACAGAAGGCAAGGACTTAAATCTGCATAATAACCTTACATTTGTTTACTGCGCTTTTTCTGGTAATCTCCTATAACTTACTCCCCCGCCCCCAACATTCTCCTTTGTCTTTAGCTGAGGGTGGTATTTAAGATGAGAACTTCCACCATTTGGGCAAGTTGCTCAGTTTGCCTGAGTCTCTCCCATGTATACATGTTATAAAGAGTTGTTTAATTTTCTCCTGTTATTCTGTCTCATGTGAATTTGATTCGTTGTGTGGACAGAAGGACCCAGAGCAGGTAGAGGAAATGTCTTCCTGCCCTACAAAACTGAACATACAGAAGCTTTATGAATGGAACAAAACAGTCCAAGTTGGCATCCTGGCTCTGCCACCCACCAGGCGTGTGTGGTCATTGAGGATGATGATGGAGAACCTTGAGTCAGCATGTCTCCTGTGACAGGTGGTGTTCAGGGCACGTACATGTGTTAACTCACTGGATCTTCACAAGAAAGACAGTTGACTAACTGTTATCACATCCCTTTTACAGATGACAAAACAGAGGTTTAGTGAGATTAAGTAACTTGCCCAAAGTCATGCAGCTGGTCATTAGCGGAGCTGGGACACCAACTTTGGAGGTCCATGTGACCACTACGTCTATGTTCTGAGCCGCTAAGAACTTCCTAAGTCACTGACCTTCTTGGAGTCCCAGTTTCCTCATTTGTAAAACACTCGTAAAAACACCTCTGGTGGAGGGTAGGGAGGAGTCATGTGGTAATGCAAGTGAAGCATCTGCCCATGTGTGGACAAAGTGGGCGTTCGTAGTTCCTGATCTTCTCCCAGCCTCATCCCGATACACTTGTTTTCAGGTAAAGTTCAATCATCATTGGTTTTCACCATTCAAAAACAGTGAAGGTTTACATTAGTTTTGTCTTGTATTGTGACTTTACACTTCTTCAGTGTTCTTGTATTTTTTCAACCCCTGTGATACCACACAAAGAATTGATGCTCAATTACTTTATCTTTTAGCTTTTCTCTTTCTTCTCTCTTTCTCTTTTGCGCAGCTTTACAGATGTCGTTGAAGGTGAAACTAGGAAGTGCTTAACTCAGAGGAGAGTCTATAGGTAATGAAAGGTGGAATAAGGCTCTATTGTCTTGGGTGGGGGTGGAGAACCCAAGGTGCCCTTAGGTCAGGCATTAAGTACTGTTCTACTGAATACTCACAGACTGGGCAGGTGTTTGAGCAGGTGGGGTGGCCCTGGGGCAGGTGCTGAATGGGGCACACAAGTGGCTAGTATATATAATTACACCTTCATAAAAATGAATGCTGGCATCTCTCCCCTGCTGTGTCTTAGCTACGGGAGCTAAACTAAATATTTTAATTAGTTTCAGCTTCCAAAAGAGTCTTAGCAGGCCAGACTTCCGAATCTGCCTCCTACTGGGAAAACACTTTCAAATCCCACCAGTTGGCAACGAATCCCTCCCAAACAAAACCAGAAACTAAAATCACCTTCCTAACTAAACAAGTTACTGTGCTTCTTAGATAGAAGTCTTTTTTATGCATTTGGAGGCTTGGGGTGACACAATCTTGGACAAAAGCAGAACCCCCAGATCTTTTCTCACTTACCATGAACTGTAGAATGTCAACAACGCTAAAGCACAATAGGAGTCCTACAATCCAGCACCCCTTCATCTGGTTTTTTAGAAAAAATAGGTGAGTCCCAGAGAGTCTAAGATCCCTAAATATATAACTAGTTCATAGTAGATTCAAGGTAAGGTTTCCTTTCTTTTTCTTTCTTTCTTTTTTTAAAGTGTCCACATGTTGCAATACTCACTCACGGCTATCACCACCTTATGAAGGAAGTGACAATATCCTGCTTTTACACAAGAGGGATTAGGGTGGATACCCGATTAAGCGACTTGCCCCACATCATGAGTGGCAAGTGCTAGACCTGGAATTGAGTGGTCTGACTAGCTGACTCCTAATCTCTGTGTTATTCCCCCGGGGCCATTTTAGAACAATGGAAGACAAAATTTAGTGTAGGCATGGAGAAGAAAACGCTCTTGCTAAGAAACTCCACCATCTTTTAACATAATTCCCTTCCTTGACTTCCATACAGACCATGATCTCTGCGGGGAGAAGGGGCTACATTTGAGTACAACTCAGGATGATGGCAGATGGATTGGAACACACAGGGTAAAGAAAAGGGAAGAAGCGAGGTTAATTCCTACTTTTTTTTTTCTCCCTAGCAACTCGGTGGATTATTTAGGCCAATTATGCTTTTAGGAAATAGCCCTTCACATTGCAATGCCTCTTCCACTTTTTCAAAGAGCTTTCATCCCTCCATTCCTGTTGACATCAACGATCCCACTGAGTTTTCTTGAGGCTAGTTTTAGAAGAGACTGGTTCAAGTATTTCTGGGATAAAGAAAGAATTTTTATTTTATTTCATTGTTTCAGGTAGCATTTGTTGTCTAAATATTCTTCTTTCTTCAATCCCAATAAAGTTAAACTAAATTTTCAAAACAGATTGGGAGATGTTATTTTAATTATAAAAGGTATCCTTACAAAATTCTTTAAAGCAATGAACTTTTCTCGGTATTCATTTATCTATTCAACGAATCTATTTTGAGCACCAACCATGTGCCAGCCACTGTGCTAAGTGTTGTGGGTATGGTGTTGAAGTAAGCAGTCTCTGGAGAAGACATATGTGAAATATGCAGACATGGCTCCGAATTGTCACAAATGGAATGAGCAGGAACAACAGTGGGCAGAGGAAATTGACTTGATTTTGGGTGGCCAGTGAAAGCTTCTCTGAGGAAAGAACATTTATACTGCAACTTGATTGATACAGAGGGGCCAGCTAGGTAAAGAATGAGGAAAGTACGGAGCCAGCCCCAGTGGCCTAGTGGCTGAGTTCAGTGCGCTCCACTTTGGTGGCCTGGGTTTAATTCCTGGGTGCAGACCTGCACTGCTGGTCAGTGGCCATGCTGTGGCAGTGACCCATGTGCAAAGTGGAGGAAGACTGGCATGGACCTTGGCTCAGGGTGAATCTTCCTCAAGCAAAAAGAGGAGGATTGGCAACAGATGTTAGTTCAGGGCAAATCTTCATTAGCAAAAAAAATGCATGAGGAAAGGAGAAGAGGAAAGAGGAGGAACACACTCTTGGATTAGGGAAGAGCATCTGCAAAGACTTGGAGGTAGGAAAAAGTCTGGCAAGTTTGAGAAACAAGCAGCATGACTGGAGTGTAAACAGCAAGGGGGAGAGTGGTCAAAGATGAAGTGGGAGTAAGACTATGTTTAAATGATCTTTTATTTACAGATAGATAATCACTTCACAAAAAATGCAGGAAGTAGAGAAAGCTATCTTGTTGAGAACCACTGTTTATGTAAGAAGTTTCAGAAATGAAATTAGAATTTTCTCCCTGGAATTATAAAATTAGTCAATGAAGAACTGACTGGATTTCCATATACTTATTTTATCATACAACTGGATAAAATGTGCCACATTTGTTTCTGTGTAAGTTAAGAACTTGTTGGGTGACTTTCTAGCAATTTTTTTAAATTTTAGGGAATAATCTGTGGGCAAGAAATTCCAAACTGGTGGCCGACTTTGCTGACCTTGGTCCACAGACATGGTTTCTTTGACCTGAACAGTGTTCTGCAAAATCTAAATAAGTTGCAGTGGCAGAGACTGCTATTTCCTTTTGTAATTGTTGCATGGTTGTACTAGATTTCCCAGCTTCCCCTGCATGTAGGAGGAACCACATGACTGAGTTCTGCCAATGGAATGTGAGCAAAAGTTCTCGTCAGCACTTCTGCGCCTTGCCAGTGAAAATTCTTCTCCCAGTGCTCTCTCTCTTTCTCCATCTGTAGCTGAATGCAGAAAAGAAATGTCATAGAAGATGCAGAGCCACATGAGCAAAGGAGCCTGGGTCCCTGAATAATTGGACAGTCTCCACCATGACCCACATTGGCTGTAACGGGAGTGAAAATTAAAACTTCATTGACTTCACCACTGAGATTTTGAATTTGTTACAATGGTGTCTTTATTTAGGTCCCTCCATAATCAGGTTCTGTGATACAGATTGGTATCCATAGTTTACAGATTGGTGCAGGTTGTTTATTTGAAAGTGATCCCTGGAAAAATAATAGAGGAGTGGGCAAGAGAGAGGAGGAAGGAATGGAAACCAAGGAATGTATAGTCTCCATCAGTTTCTGCTGTGGGCAGCTGGAGCTTGGTCTCACATGGGAACTCTGGGAGACAATACAGGAAATGCCTCAGATCTATCCCAACTGAGAGGTGAGGAGATTGGGATATTTATGCACTCCCTCCACGTCTGTCATTGGTAGAGAGCTGCTTCCAAGACCACTACCTCTTCAGCATTCTGGGCCTGCCCTGCAAGAAAGCCAATTGTGTACACAATGTCTTCAGAGAGAGATAAAACTGTATACAGCAGGCAGCCTCGCGCGCAGAGACAAGTGCTGAGAGGACATGAGTGGGGCACCAACAGCTTCTGCTAAAAACATTTAGCCTACACTGACTACATTTAGACTACACAGCCAACGTTTAAAATTAGATGACTTAACTTAAAAATCTGAATTTCTGACTTCTCAAAAATTAAGAAGATAGTTAACACTGGGTCTGCATTTCTGTTTGGCAATACCTGGCTGGAGCTGACTAGTGACTGCCGCTTAGGATGGGGGTAGGGTCTCTAATTCTCCATAGTTCCCACCACATCCTACTGTTTCTTAGTCCCAACCTATTTCCCTTGGTTAGGTTACTTTCATGGTCCATGAGGTAGGCACTTGAATTTGTAACCCTGGTGTCCTACTAGGAAACAGCTTTTGTTTTCTCCCTTTCGTTTTTTCCATTTCCATTCAATTGCATTTTCTTTCTTCCCTACTCTACTCTGAAACTGCCAAAAATACCTCTTGGTGAAACCTTCTCCAACCACCCTCACCTATCTCATTGACCACATGCCCATGGTCATCTGTACTGTCCCATATGGTAGCCACTGGCCACATGTAGCTATTTCCATTTAAGTGTCAGTTAATTAAAATTAACTAAGATTGATTAAAATAAAAATCCAGTCCCTCCATCACATCAGCCACATTACAAGTGCTCAATAGCCATATGAGGTCAGTGGCGATCATCATGAACAGCACAGATACAATACGTTTCCATCATTACAGAAAGTTCTGTTGGACAGCACTGATGTACAGAATGTGCTATAATTCTTAGTTCTTGTTTTTCTTGTAGGTGCTCTTGTGTTTTCCATAAGCATTTACCCGTTAAGGTCAATTCCACTCCAAAAATGAGAGAGTTTATTCTATATATTGTGTATTTTTCCTCACCATCGAGTACCTAAGCAAATTGCCTGCAATAGTATTGTGGACATTTCTTAAGTTCCCACATGAGGTTCTGTACCAGGGTCCCCTGTGGTCTCATTCAGAGAGACAGTGTGTTCTCCTGCCCCCTCAGGCTTGTGTGGAAGCCTGAGGAAATTGCTTAGGGTAGAAAGAGACAGGGACGATCAGGTACGATTTCAACATCATACCTGTTTAGGATTGGAAGGCAACTCATTAAGACTACTTACTGCTTCCCACTTAAACAGGCATCAAAGTATGTAACCCATACTTTGATGATTTAATATGGTTTTTTTATGTCCTTATTTAAAACTCCATAGTGATTGAGGCAGCATAACATCAAGTTCAAGTCCTCTGATTTGGGAGTCTGACAAACGGGGGCTGAAATCCCAGCCCAGATACCTATTACCCATGGGCTCTTGCACTATTTATCTACCTTCTCTAGGCCTTAGGGGAATAATGATATTTACCTCCCAGAGTTTTGTGAGGATTAAATGAGGTAAATGCCATAGGAAGTGTTATAAATGCTAGCTATTATTACTAGCAGCAGAAAATCAAATTCAAAGACAAAGTCATCAAGACAAGAATAGACTTCCAGGTGTGCACCGTGCTGGAAAGAACCAAAGTAGAAAAGCATTCAGAGAATTCCCTCCCAGAGAAACATTTGCAGAGTTACGGGGATCCTTTTTGACAAACACTTGCTTTCCTTGGAAAATGTTAATGTATTTCCATTAGCATAAAGACTGGGATTACTAGGTAAGCATTGTGCCTTCCGCTTGTCCTACTCTTCCAAACAAATAATAACTCGAGTTAAAGCTACCATTTGGTCAAAAAAACAAGAAGATGATGGAGATAGGATGACCAGCAAGAAAAGGACTGGAGAGCTTCAATGACTCAGTTTTTGTTCAGAAAATAAAGTCATTATAGGGAATATCTATCTCTTTTTCTGTCTTCTCCATCCAGTCTTATATACTTGAAAAGAATAGAACATTTTGAGTGAAATTACTGCCTTCTTTTTCCAAAGAGGTAAACAGTGACTGGAAATGTCAATGTTCTCCAGCACCTCTGAGGCACAACTCTGTCCTTCTCCTGGTCATCAAGCTGTGAAAAATCATCGTGCTGTCCAATTATCTCGCTGAGAAATAGGCTAAAGGCACTTGCTGCTGAATGGAACAGATCATGGTAGGCCTATCTAAGAATGGCATTTTGGCCAATGGCCATGATGTCATGATGGAAACTGATTTAGGCTGAGGCTTAGAAGTGGCATTTGGTAGATTTTCCTTCCTTACTGTGCCCAATTTATTATTAAGAAAAGATGTTCAAAATCAGTTACTAGGCGAAATAAGGTAGATTAGAAAAGAGGATATGTGGTATGATCTTATTCTGGTAAAAGAATGGAGAATGTCCATTAGAGTTCTTTGTTTGCAGCCACAGAAATTCACTCTGGCTCACAAGAAAAGGAATTTATTGGAAGGATGTGGAAGTTTACAGCAGTATTGGTTAGCTCTTGCTGCATAGCAAACCCCTTCAAACTTAGTGGCTTAACAAAATCAATTTATTTAGCTCAGTAATGTAGGCCGGTCTTCCCCATGTATCTGAGGGCAGCTGCATGTCCATTAGGGGGTTCTAATTCTACAAGTTGGCTGAGGCCCCTGGTCTCTCCTCCAAATGGTTTCTCATCTTCCAGCAGCCAATCTTGTTCCTATAGTGGAGTCAAGGTTCCAGGAGAGGGGAAGCACACAGGTCTCTTGAAGCCTAGGCTCTGAGCTGGCACACCCTCACTTCCTCTGCCTTCCACTGGCCAAAGCAATCAGAAGGCATTCCAGATCCAGAACTAGACTCCACTGCTTCATAGGACTTAGCCTCCTGCAAGGGGCTTGGGTATGGAGGCCACTAATTGGGACCATCAATGCAATTGATTTACCATAATGAATTGAGGGAAAATCTGAAGAACTAATTCTCAGAAGGCCCAGGACCCACGGCTGCTCCAGCTGTCTGGGCAATGGGAACTAACGGGTGATCTCCTTAGGGTTCTCCTCTCAGGACAAAGGAACTAGAGCATTTTCAGTCCTAGAGGCTCACTTAGAGGAAGACTGAAATCTCAGAGTGGTCACCTGCCTACTGCTTTGCCAGCAAAGAATGTGACATCTGGATTGGCAGTCCCACTAGAAATGAGAGTCCGTTGATTGAGGGTCCATCCCCAGGGCAAAACAGGGGTGTTAAAAGTTATAGAAACATGCAAACTTGCGGCAGGAGAGATGGAACTGAAAGTTATCTGGACTTCAGGTATTCTTGCCTCAGCTCTCCGCTCCCTCCCTTCCCTCTCCCTCCCCTCCTCCTCCCCCTACCACTACTATTACACACACACACACACACACACGTATGCGTCCACGCATGCACACAGACACACACCCCTTCCATCTCATTCCAAAAAGGAAACTTCTTTGAGGGGCCTGCCCCATGGCCTGGTGGTTAAGTTCAGCGTGCTCCACTTCAGCAGCCTGGCTTTGGCTCCCAGGCGTGGACCTACACCACTCGTCAGCGGCCATGCTGTGGTGGCATCCCACATACAAAAAGAGGAAGACTGGCACAGATGTTAGCTCAGGGCGAATCTTCCTTAAGCAAAAAGAGGAGGATTGGCAACGGATATTAGCTCAGAGCAGATCTTCCTCAGGAAAAAAAAAAAAAGAGAGAGAGAGAGAAAAGGAAACTGCTTTGGGTCTCTGTTTTCCCATCTGTAAAATGACAGGTGGAGAGGAGATTGTCCATTTATGTCTAATGGATATGTACATAATTCCAATTTACCAGATACACTATTTTATCTCCTGTTTGACACTCTTTGTCCCAACATACTATATTTTAGCTCTAAAACCTCAGACCTGTTCTGAAAGCACATGGCAGCGAAGGGTTTCCTTCAGCTTCCCCCTCTTTGATCCCTATCCCCAGATGCTGATAGGACAGTCGGCTGGAAGATCATAGAGATCTAACAGATGTCGCTCCATCCCTGGGGAATGCTCAAGGCTCAAGCCGTACAAATCACAAATCAGTCTGTGCGGAAAGTATTCCTCCTCACCCTCCACAACTGCCAGACCCTAACGAGAGCGTTCTCTCTCCGGATACACTTGAAGGGGCCACTGACAAGTGCCTTTGACCTGGCGGGTTGGAATTAGGATAGTAAAAAAAAAAAAAAAAAAAAAAAGCACAGGACATTCAGTTAACCAGAATTTCAGACAAACAAGAAATAACTTGTTAGTATATATTACAGATACTGCCAATTTGAATGGGACAGACTTATACTAAAAATATATTTATTTTTATCTGAAATTCAAATATTATTTGCCAAGTCTGGCAACCCCAGTTAGAATAGATTCCTAATGTTATTTGTTCCTCCTACCCCACCCCACCCTCAGGCATGGAGAAAATATACAACCTGAACCAGACTTTGGTCAGAGAAAGACTTAAAACGTCTGACTATTTTGAAGCATCTGAAAGAAATCATGAGGGGAAACATTTTATAAGAGGATATTCCTCATTTCCTTGTGGTCATGACAGTCTGGAACAAAAATTAGAGTCTGGTTCTAAATTGAAGGCAAAAGTAGTTCTTTTTTCTTGTTTTTATTTTTCGTTCACAAAAGTACAAT